TCTCAGCCCAAACAGCACTGCCATCTTCAACCAAACCCAGGCTCCATACATGCGAGCTCCAGGCAGAAGCAATGCTGATACTAGCTTTCCTGTCACATTCACCATACTCTATTTCACACACTACATAGCATAACTACAATATAAGCTAAAGTTAAAGGAGCTAACTGGACTTACAGGATCAGCAAGCACACTCACCTTGCAGCATGGCCTCAAACAAAATGGATTCCAATAGGCCACTCCCACACTTAAATACTTCCTCTTCCTGGATTTCTCCTGACAGGAAGTGGATCTCTCCACCTGATCTCAAGGAGTTATGTGCCCTGCTTAGTAGTTCCCCCTGCTGGCCCCCAGCTGACATTATTTCTTCTGTAATAGATAAACTGGCTGCATTTAATTGCTTCATCTGACATTTCCCTCACTGTCTTCCTCAAATTCTGTCCCCGCACTCCAGGAGTGAGACAGTTGATCTTGCTATGAATCCCCTACACCCCACTTCCACTGGACAAATCCTAGTCTTCCATCCTCGCTGCTCAGCTTCTGCTCCTAAGTCTGCATATCTAAGCTTTTTTCTTTCATAGGCTTCTTCCACTGAGTCTTCCCAAGGAACTGTCAGCTCAATGAAATAAACTATCTGTTGACTCACTGACCACAACACTAAGTCAGGACTCTGCCTGGTACAGACTATTTCCTGAGGAACAACAAGCTTTCCCCCTAAATCTACTTGCATTTCCCAATCACAAGCACCTTCTAGGCGGCCACACCCTTGCCTCCTCACTAACTTATCCCTTCTGTATTTCTCTCCCTCACGGACAAACTGAATTACTAAGCTCCTATCCTTAACACCTTCTGAATTCACCTGTCTTCGTTTCCCTTCGATGCCTGCAGCTAAACATTTAAACACCTGATTATGTCACCATGTATATCGGCCTTGTGACAAGCTAACTTTACAGCCTGACAAAATATGCTTTAAAGTTGCGGTACGTGAACACAATGGGCATGATGGGTCCTCATTTACCCACAGTTTTAGGTTCTGGGGGGTTGGTAACACATCGTATGTAGCCCCTACCAGGAATCTAATACGATTCTCCTCCATACTCCACAGGTCCCTCCAACTAAGCTTCCTCTTCTCTACACTTTCCCAATTCAACCACTGTCCCTGTTTAGCCTGGGCCACTACCTTTGCACCCCTTGCTATCTCTTCCTGTCTGCGTATCTGTTCTACAACCAGCTTTCTTTTATCTTTGAGGCCTGCTGTATTCCATACCGGTTTACCTGAGCCAAGCCCCAGGCCTCCCCGGCCAAACTGAACATTACCTACAATCTCTGCATGTCTAAGAGCTGTCTCTGCCTCCTGAACTGCCGATCTTGGGTTCCACTTCCTCCCCTTGGTTGGATTTGGAACCACACTCCTGACTACCACGTCCCTACTCCCAGATAACAAGAGCTCTGTCCTGACCTTGGTACATTTAAATTCCTCTGTTAAACTAGATACTGGCAGCTGAAGTATCCCTTTTCCATACAATGCAACACTACTTAGGCACCTAGGAGCACCCAACCACTTCCTAATGTAGGAGCTAACCGACCTTTCAATTCTCTCCACAACAGATATTGGAATTTCATAAATTGACAGTGGCCACATTAACCTAGGATATAGCCCAAATTGCAAACACCACAACTTCAACTTTCCTGGAAGTTCTGATTTATCTATTCTATCCAATCCTTCAGCCACATCTTTTCTAAATTTCACCACCTGTTCCTTATCATTCAACTCTACATTGTACCACCTACCTAAGCTCTTTACTGACTTTTCCCTAATTGTTGGGATGTCCTCATCATCTATGACAAACTTCCTATCACTTAACTTCCCTCTACATATCGAGATGCTTCTAGATTTACTAGGCTTGATTTTCATGCTGGCCCACTTGAGGTTCTTATTTACCTTCTCTAGTAGCCTCTTTGTACATGGCATTGTTGTGGTCACCAGTGTCATGTCATCCATGTAAGCCCTAACTGGTGGAAGATGCAACCCATTCTGCCGTCTATCCCCACCTACCACCCACTTAGAAGCCCTGATGATTACTTCCATTGCCATAGTAAATGCTAATGGAGAAATTGTAGTATAGTAGTATAGTATAGTTATAAGAGTTGTAAAATGTCTTTATTTATTTAATCTATACTTATTTAGATGCTTTGCTTTGTGTCAAAAACTGTACATAAAATAAAATGTAGCGTGTTTTTGAAATTATGACAAAAAACAACAACATATGTAGAAAGAAGCAGAGATGGGATACATGTACCTGTTTTAAATGAACGAATAAAATCCAAAGAGTACTCTGTTTGATTTAGCCCACACTCTTCTGGTGTATATTAACCATGTAATGAAACATGTTTTTATGCAGAAAGGGTGCCAACACAAAGGCCTCTAACATTGAAATGGGCCTACAAATTGAAAAATGGCTGTCTATTTTCTGCTTAATACACAGCAGTTACCCACCAAGGTTCTTCTGCTTTGTGCATGTCGAAGGTCTGAGGTCTTTCATGCCAAAAGCCCTCATAAAGTCACGAGTCACTGGTGTTAAAGTCTGGTTGCAGGTCATTTTATGATTGAGTCACATGTCCTGCGGACAGGTCCACACCTCTGATCGTTACCACCAATGTTTAGTCTTTGGTGAACATTGTAATTTAATCCCTCGAGCAGAGTAACCATGCTGCCCTCTGGTGGTTACAATGAAAGCTCACTGCAGTTTATGACATTGCAATTAATATTCTGCGTACATCAAGTGATTCGGTTTTGGCACGTGTACATCAAATACTTTGCCAAACATGAGGCGTTTCTTTTTCCTATTTTCTGTTAATTACTTAATCACATGCATGTTTAAACACAAGACTGTTTGCAGTGATACATAACAAATATTCATTATTTCAGTCGTCTGAACCAAAGAGGTCGTCGCTGTGCACATGCACACAACAGCAACAGAAATGCAAATATTGCAGCTCTATGTAGAGTGGTCGTGTGCTCAGGATGTGATGTAACATATGATGGATTCGATTTTATATCAACCTGACTGACCATATAGGCTTTCAGTACTTAAAACTAGGCTTTGTATTGGTAGTGTCAGATTTGGGGATGGATCTGCCCACTCCTATTTGTTAACTGGCTGAAAGCAATATTGTAAATAGGTGATAATGAACTAAAAGTGATAGTCAGGTTAAGTGTATTTCAATAACAGCCCATGAGGTATTAGGTTTTTCTAATTGGGAATAATGGTCATTCTCATGGGGGAAACTGTGGGCTAGGTCACAAGGAAAGCAACGCAGCAACTACAGTAGCCTGGATGGGTCCATTAAAAATAACACTGCAGCTGCAAAGATTGTATGTAGTGGCACTTAAAAACCCTCACCTTTTGTGTTGCTGCATGTTTAACAAATCATATTTTTTCAGAGAAACCTGTAGTTGAGATAGTTATAAACATTTTTCAGGTCAAATTTACTCTATCAAGCGATGTTTGGAGGTAGCAAGCTGATAAAATTTTCACTGGTATACTGCTTTCAAAGGACATTTTTTGTAAACTTTATAAATAGTAGGCCTATGGGAACTTGATGTTTGTTTCTTTATGAGAAAGGGGGATTATTTATTTTTGCAGGGGACAGCACATAATTAAAAGTAATTGCACCAAATTTAGCAAGCAGCTAATTTACATGTGTTGTCCCTGCTAGACATAAAATCGACAACTACACGATATGTGGCCCCAAAAGTGACGTGAAACAGAAGTAAATAAATAAAATAATAAATAAATAACCGTAATAATTTCGGAAGGAAAAAAAACAGACAAGCAAGTTCTGAAGTCCATACTCTTTTTGGTGGTTAAAAAAAAAAGAAAAAAGAAAGGGGGGGGGGACGGGGGGGGACGTCAGAAGGCGCCGCCCAACACTACGTCATCACTACGCGTCCACAACACACTTCAGTCAGGTCTACACATCTCACACGTGAGTTATGCTACACTTTTTCTTTTTTTTTTACCTTTTAAGAACTGTGTTTCTATCGTTTCATATTTTGCACCAGTTACGCCGAATGTCTCAATAAATGTACTAAAAAAATTGCTAAAAATATCCGACTGTTTCGAAAACTATCGAGCCGGTTTGTGTCAAGAGAGTTAGCATGGACGTCTCCTCTGCTACTGTCTTGTTTATGCAGCCAGGGTCTCTCAGCCAAACTCCTTTCTCAAGAATATGTCAGTATGACGTTTCATCGCTTATCGCCACCAGGCTAACCTTGTAAAACCTGAATTATAACATTGTCCGAATCATTAGTAGCTAGTTGTAAATTCGGCATACATTGGTGTTACCCAAATCTCTTGTTTACATATAATTTCCAACTTTCCCCCCTTAACATTGGTCTCAATCACACCGTTAGGTAAGATTTGCAGGTGGAAAACAGAATAGCACTAGCATACTACGGTACTAGTACCCTAGGGTACAAATAAGGTACCCAACTGATACAGTAAATCCTATTTGTTAGTCTTGGGACAGCCACTGAAATGTATTGATTACAGAGGAAGTGTTTCCTCTTCATTATTTTGACTACTTTGCAGTGACAGTTGTAGTTAAGGAAGGTTAATGTTTAATTTCTAATAAAGTTTGGTCCTGTTTGTTTTATGTTTTTTTTTATTATCAAATACAGTCTGACCCTGTATCAATGATAAATGTAAAATAATTTGTCGTAGGTAAACAAAACTCAGTGTAGCTGTAGCATCATATCAGTCATATCATTGCATAAAATGGTATTAGCATCCAAACCCAATATTTTAGTAACATTAATGTACACTGTAACTGTAGACAAAGATGTGCTGGTTGGTAAATCTAGAGAATGTGTACTTCACCATCAAAACCTAACGATCAGTTAATGTTTTCCCCTCGTCTGTTCCTATGTCAGCCAGAAGATCGAGGATCTTCTCCATCAAGACCAAGTCATTCTGCTTGTATGTCATAAGTTCCAAGCTATGTTGGCTAAACCAGAGGAAAGGAAGCCGCAGAAAGGGGGAGAAAAGAAGAGGAGACACCCTGGTGGAGATGGAGAAGGAGGAGAGAAGAAGAGGAGGGGAGGTAAAGAAGGAGAAGGGGGTCAGGGAGATGGTGGCAGGAAGCGCCTGGATGCACTGAGTGTGGGCTATTTCCGCAGAGTTGGGGAAAGACTCGGTGAAGGCTTTGAAGACAATGAGGAGAGAGGTGAGGATGATTATTTAATATTTGTCATTATATATCAAACACTGCCTGTGTGTGATATCTGTTAACTCTTGTTATTCTTCTTTCTATTTTGTTTTGTAGAGATGTTTGTAGAGAATGTCCTCACAGAAGTTAAAGGGAAAGCGGCGGTGGTAGCAATGGACCGCACAGGAAGCATCACTTTACAGCGGCTGCTGCCACTGTGCAGTTCTGACCAGGTTGCAGAGGTGCTGGCTGAACTCGGGGGAGAATCAGGGTCGGAGTTTAAGGCGGTTTCATGTGACCGGTGTGGCGGCCATGTAGTGGAGAGTGCTGTCAGGCAGATATCCAAGTGGATGGGTAAGATTACATGTTTCATTTCTAAGCAGCAATGTCAAACCTTCTGTAGTAAATAGGTAAATAACAACTCAGCTTTGTGTGTCTCTTTTGGATCCATTCATTTTTAGAGTCATCACAGAAGGAGTTGCCTAATAACGAAGAAGAAGAGGAGGAGAGTTGTGGAGTGTTGGAGGCCCAGGTGTTGTCTTTAAGTCAGGTGGTGAGAGACAACAGCGCAGAGTTCATCAAACATGTCCATGGCTCACACGTGGTCCGCACACTTTTACATGTGCTGGCAGGCTGTCTGGGACCTCCACGCACTGAGACCCGTCCAGGTACACACACACACACACAAACACACATATTCATTTCTTGGCCTAACATAGAGGGTTTCCAAATCTGACACTGTGGGCCCCACTCACACAGAATTCAGTACCTCCACACCCAACCCCTGATTTTGTCACTTTCACTGCTTTTATTATTCTTTGTCTAACTTCTATTTGGTAGATAATTATGGCTTAAGTTTTAGAGCTACAGTACAGATAATTTGGGGCCATTTGGGATGTAAACAGAAAGTTTTAATGGAGCCATGGAGTCAACAACTTTTTTTCAGCATACTTTTAATGGCAGCATTAAAAGTATGCCAACTTAGCTAATAGCTTTTCCTGTTTGTACAGTACACATGGGGATGTACTGACTGCTATAACTGGATTACTGTGATACAGAGGCAAAGGTAAAAACCTGATGATTCTCAGCCAGGTTTTTGGGCCAGATACATTAACAATGTATATGCACAAATACCATGCATACGCCTTTTCCTGCATATGAAGTGGTATTTATAAAGGAAGAACGTGCGGTGAGAATATGTGCACCTTGCTCATTCTTCAGATATACACATAGTTTCAGAGATAGCTGCGAATGAAGTGATAAGGAGACAGATATCATGCTTTTAGGTTGTCCGCCAATTTCTCTCATTGTCTTATTTATATTGAAGGTGACACATTACTCAGTAAAATGTCAATCAAAGGCGCATTTATAAAGTTAATTTGAAATTACAAGTGATGAATTTTATGATCATTGTTATTAACATTCATCTCCCTGTTAATGATTGTTTAGTTTTTTCCTGTGAAGCAATTTGTGAAGTCAGTTTCAACATGAGCACTATGAACAAATTATTGATCATCCGTCTGACATTTCATTATAATGCTGATTGAGATTTATACTCAAATGATGGTTTGCAGAAACGTAGTGAATAAGTGGTGCAGGTGCTACAAATATCCACAGTTCTGTGTAATATCACCTGTTCCGGTACCCTTAGAGAACCTCACCGATGAGACACAGTCAGTGAAATTGCACTGTAGTTTTCAATGTCTACTGACTGGTGGAGGGGCACAAGTATTGATGTGCAAATATATGTTTAGAGGTCTTTCTACATTCAGTTATGGCAAACTTTGGGAGTGGAAATGAGGCTTGTGGATATGCGCCCAGCTCCACAAGATTAAGATTTATAAAACAGAATTAGGTGTATTCACAGCTTTGTAAATCTGACAGAATTTCTGCCTTAGTATACACAGTTTAAGCTGTGAATCTACACAGAGTTTTATACATCTGGCCCCTGGAATTAAAAGGAGCGAATGTTTTCCATGATTTCTAAGTGAATTTATGTTATTGTATTTGTGATGACTTATTAAGCGGGCAGAATCAGCGGTCAGGCCACAATAAGCAGTAAGTGACTTTCAGATGATTTTAGATCAACAGCATGCATCTGTCCCTTTGACCTCACGCACTGTTTTTGCCTCATGTTTCTCTCTGTATCTCTCCTGTGCCCTAGTTCTGAGGTGCGCCTCACAGAGTTTGCAAACCCCTGGTCTAATAAAGTTGTGACCCTGCATTGCTCAGTGTCTGGCAACACTGACCGTATCCACCCTTACCAGACAGAAAGACAGAGAGCTGTCTGAGAGGCTGTTCATCCTAGAAAATAAGTGGTTTAATCTATTTGTTGAGGTAGTTACCACAGTCTCCATTTTGTCCCAACAAGAAATAAAGGAAGAAAATAAAACTTTAGGTCTGCATGCTCTGTCTCTGCTAGTTCTGTTGGGACTTCTACACACTCAGAGGCTTGTATCTGCAAGCTTGTGTTCATGTTGACTTTTGTTACTCTTGTTTTTTTCCAGGTGCAAAAGAACGCAACGTTGCTCCTCAGCTGACGGATTTTGAGATTCCAACGTCATTTTGGTACGAGCTCAAAAGCCTCACAGAGACCTTGATGGACAACGTTAATTGTGAGTCATATGTATTCAAACCCAAGCACTTGCTTATCATAGCTGAGAACTTGTATTATGGTCAGAGAAAAGAATAACGTGCGCATTAAACATCTTTAACAGTGGCTGAATTAAGGTTGCCCCATGATCTTTTAAAAGGGAGAACCAGTATTTCAAATAATATGGCAGACATGCCCAAGTCAACAAACCCTGTCAACAGTGTTGCCTCCCTCTTCTCCTATCTGCTGACTGCTCTGGCATTTTTTTGGAATCGGAAAAACATTTAAGCCTTTTAAATGCGAGTGAGGACTCATAGGAGAGTCAAAGGGGAAGTGCTCAAGGGCTGCTTTTTTGTGCTGTCTAGATTGTGTTTAGAATTTAAATGATAAATCCAACCTTGCAGTTTTTACTATCAAAACAAAATGAAATGGTCAGTAAATAACTTCGGGGCAAGTGCACATGCTGTGGAGAAACGTAAGTGGCTTTAAAGAGAACTCTGCTGCACAGGGACAAAACAACTACGCATTTTTAATACAGCAAACAGAACAAAAAGTGTCTGGATAACTGGAGAGAGAGACCACATGGGCAGCTCTTTCAGTCTGCTTTGGAAGTGATGGAGGCTGACACAGCTGGAACTATTGATAATAAGCTTTACAAGCATCATAAAGCCAATTCTAAAATTAGACTCTAAATGCACTGTGAGTACAGGAGTAAATAAGGGCTTTAGTGTATAGTAGCTTTGGTACAAGTGTTTTCTGCCTTTACTCTGTAATTATCAGAAAAAATTGCATTAATCGTTCATGTCCAAAAGTCCGCATGTGTACTCGATCAGTTTTGAAATCCTCTGCAGGCTTTGGTCCTGTTACAACCTTTAAAAATATAACTTGAATGAGTAATTGGTGCTTTGTTCCGGATTTTAGATTAAAGGTTACCTGGGACAACTTTTGACCACACGTAGCACTGTTGAGCAGTGTTTTTTTTAATTGTTTAACGTTGTTTGTATAATTGATATGTACAAGGATGCACAAACACGACATTCCCGCCACAGATTTCACACTGTTCCACAGATCTACAGTTAGTGGTGATAACCATAGACGGTATAAAATAATGGACGTAGCCACTCTGACGTCATTGGTATTGAAGCCCGAGTTTCACATTTTGGCCATCGCCATCTTGGATGTTTGCAGCCAGAAATGGTGACTTTATAAGTGACCAAATGTGGACGAGAGGGTGGAGCACACATTAACACTAGCTGCTAGCTTGGTTAGCACAGTGTATTTACAGTCTGTGGTTAACTGTGATAATGCCAATGCTTATAACCATTAGGGGTGAGTTCATGTACAAAAATCACTAAACGTTTAGAGTGGGTAATTTTTTTCGTGTAAACGTGTACACGGGTTTCACCACTGGGTGGTGCTGTTGCATTGTACCCGTAAAGCCCCAGTTATCCGAATACCAACCGAACGGGCCATTTAACCAATGGTTACAGGCCGCCACTCCGAAATATCGCCATTTCGACGGTCCGCCATCTCGAATTCTGGTCCCTGAGTCCTGACAGTAAGCTATGGCTAGCCTGTAGAAGCTGGCACTGTGATACGTTGCTCGTCCGTATGTCCGTCCGTAGCATGAGTCATGTGCGCCACTTCACCACCGTGCGTAGAAGCGCGAACAATTCCGTGTCCTCTCACTGTGGATGCTGTGATTTGGTGGCCTGGTACTCATTGTAGCCCACTGGCGAACGACCCCCTTACCGAATGCGCCATTTTAATAGAACAGAGCACGTAGGCTGCTGACCTGTTGCCAAACCCGGTCTCACACCATTTCTTGTCTTATTCACAGTCTATCACAGTTAGTCAACAATTGAAAAACGTTTTTCGTGTACTAATTTTTCATAACCGTTTATGATCTCAAACACATGTACACGGACTCACTTCTAATAACCATGGAAACAAAATGTACTTAGTGGAAAAACTGAACATCCAACTCCTTACCAAAGGAAAAAAGTGTGTTACATTATTTTGGACATCTAGTATTTTTTCTACCTATATTGAAGCAACCCCCAAAACATTTGAGATGGAAATAACTTTATGAAGAATGATTTACAATCCCCATATATGTGCGTTTGACCCACAGGTACTAAAGGTACATTTGTCAGTTAATAGTAGCAGTGGTGATGCAGCAGGTTGGGTAAGCTTACAAGAAAAATATCAAAATATAGAATGTTAAGAAGTCACAAAGCAGCATCCTGAGTAAGTTATTAATAAGTTAAATAAACATTGCGTGCTGTAGTACACCTTCCGTCCTACCCCTCGCTCTGTTACACTCTCTCTCTCTCTCTCTCTCTCGCTCTCTCTCTCTCTCTCTCTCTCTCACACACACACACACACACACATACATACATACACATACACACAGGCAGGAACACTGAGGTCATGTCTCTGTCCTCAGTCCTGACAACTGTGCTACTGTAATGCATTGAGTTTGTGGTTTGCATGTCAGGTCATGTTCAGGTGGTTGATAACCCATATTTTGTTGGTAAGGCAGTGCAGATTGGAAAAGTGAAGCTGAAACAAATTCCAGTCTTTAATAAACAGGAAGCTGCTTGGGCCATATCTTTAAGAATGGGGACAAACTTAAAGCTCTTATTTAACCTCTTATTTTATTCCTACATGCTCTCATGTTCTTATTTAACATTTTGTTTTTATGCCCAATATCTTATTTAACATTTTATTTTACAGATTTTTTATTGGTTAAATAATGTTATGATATTAAACAATTATTAAATTAATCTGACAGCCTGGCCCCAGAATGTCTGCTTAAAAAAATTCTACATTCTAAAGTTAACTCCCTTAATTTATTTATTTTTTGAGACCAAGATGTATCTACTGAATGAGACTTTTTAGAGTGTAAAAATCAAGTTTGTTAATAGGGACACTACTTCTAAATAACTTCTTAAGTTCTCGTTCCTTATCTGCCAACATACACACCCACATTGATATATCTGTAATAAGCTTATTTCGGACTGGCAGAGTTGGTCTCACTCTGTGTCTTGGATTTGTTTATTAGACCACAAGGATACACACAATGTGTTTTGATGAAAATCACTGAAACTAAATATAACTTTTCTCTCCCATTGTGTGTTTTCCTTCCTAGTGAGTGTGACAGATGCTGTTGCCAGTGCAGTGTTCCAGACCATGTTGACTGTGTGTCACAGGAAACGGCCGAAACTCTGCAAACAGCTCCTCAAACGCATCATGGAGTACCTGACAAGTCGCAATGCAGCTCCAGGAGTGAGGTCAGAGACGACCCTTGAGCCATTTTCCTTTTGACCAGGAATGAGTCGATTAGTCGACAGCATGTTATCTAACTGCTTGTTTTGTTTCTGTGCTGTTTAGTCCTCTTCTGGTGTTTCTTAAGGACCAGGCCTCCAGTCACCTCATTGAGACAATCATACAGCTTTCCCACAAGGCCCTTCTTCGGGATCTCTATAAGAACCACCTCAAGGGTCAGCTGGTCGACTTGGCCCTCCATTCTATCGCCAACTTCCCCATACAGAGGCTAACCGCCGCCTCGGCCAAATACAAACTGGTTCGTCATGACGTCTGCATGTCACATGGTGCAGGATAAAAGTCAGGATTTTGTAACTGTAAGAATGACACCATTTTCTCTCTCTCTTTGCGTAGTTCCTGAGGTTGTTTGACGAGCTGATCCAGGGCGTGGAGGCCATCTTAGCCGCAGGCCACATGGGTGTGATTGTCCAACTGGCCGAGAGCTGCGCAGAAAGTGAGGAGAAACAGGACGAGTTGATGCAGTGCCTTCTCCATGTAAGCATCAAGGGGTGTTTGTAACTGAGATGTAATGGTCCACCTGGGTCTTAAATCAATGTAACAATACCCCTGTTTTTATTTATTTCTCCCTCTTTTCTGACTGAAATCCAAAGTGCATAACAACACAATAAAGCTGCTTAATGTTTGATTTGTTGGTAATGAAATCCTTGTTGATGTGTTGCCTCCCAGGCATTCCACTGCGCTGAGCCCGGTTAGCGACACGTCAGCTGCCTGCCTCTCTTCATGTCCCTGACCACCTATGAGGTGTATTACCACTCTGACACAGCAGAGGGCAACATACAGACAGAGGTAAACAACACAGCAGTCTAATGAAATCATTTGGGGATGCATTTTAATTGTAGTTTTGACATTTCAGTTTAATTAGCGCAACGCTGCACCACAAACAACATCCCTTTGAAAAATGAATGCACCCTGCAGCATATTGATGTTGAATTAATGTTCAGTGAGGTGCCGTTCTGGTGTTCTTCATCATGTCTAGATCCCACTGTCCTCCATCTGTTACCAAGGCTCCCGGCTGGTACAGGCGCTGGCCAAGTTCAAGGAGCGCTCCCTCCTACTCAGCAGCTTGCGCACTCTGACCCCTGCTGACCTCCTGACACTGGCCTGTGACCCCTCTGGCAGCCATGTCCTCCAGGCACTCATCGCCACATCCAGCGACAAGGGGAGAGGCAAGATCCTCAAGAGACTGGAGGTACGACTACACAAGCATTATAAGAATATTACAGAATAGGAAGCTGTCACACAAGAGAATTTTTACTTTTAGCAGTTCCTGTTCCTGTTTTAAATACTTCCACTGACATTTAACTGACATTTTATCGGATATAGCTCAGTCTTGGTTTTGGTCTTTTTGTGGGATTCATTAACAATACCAGAAGTATAGAATATCAGCAGCCATATCCATTTAGACATCTAAATGAATATGGCTGCTGATATTCTATACTGATAATTCTATACTCTCTGAAGGCTTAAATTTCACAGTAACTGCTGCTGTTCACTGTCAGGGACAGATTGCAGCTCTATATCAAATGCTGCTGCTTCTCCTAACTGTTTTAGATATGCCACCAGTCTCTGTGTAGACACTTCCTTTGGGAGGAGATAAAAATTTAAGCTAATACAGAGCAGGGCTGCAAGTAATGATTTTTTTTTTATTATTGATGAATCTACCGTTTATTTCAGGATTAATCGATGAAGTATTTAGTTATCACGATTTCCCAGAGCTGAAAGTGACGTCTGCACATTGCTTCCTTTGTCCAACCAACATTCCAAAAACCAAAGACTCTTCATTTACTGTAATAAATGACAAAGAAAAGCAGCACATTCACAAATTTAAGAAGCTAAAACCAGCAAATATTTGTTACTTTTGCTTGAAAATTACTAAAACTATTAATTGATTATCAAAATACTGATTGATTGGTGATTGATTTTCTTTCTTTTGACTAACCTATTAATCAACTAATTGTTGCAGCTCAAATAGAAACCCAAAGTGAAGGTGGAACTTCCAGGTTGCCAGTTTGTCTAGAAATATAAAAAGTAGACCCCAGGAACATTCTGAATTTTTCAGTAAGACTCATGAAAGAAATGCTGAATGAGACACTACATTAAGTTACAGAAACAGGTTGAACAGAGACTAGCTCAGATGTGACATCATGACTGTGGTGCTTAATAAAACAATCATGCATTTTTTGCAAAGGTGTGAAAGTAGTACTGACACTGTTGTAATCTTGATGGCACTCGACCAACACCGTTACAGCACTGTGTCTGAATACAACAGGCCTTTACTTCAAAGACGTTCTTGTAGTTGCTTCTGACTTCGTCCTTCATAACCTTATCCAGAGTGACGTTTCGGTGCAACACACATCTGCTCTTGAGGCTGAACCCAGGACCTTTTGAGTACTGCCTAGGATTACTGCTACTTTACTTTCCTATTACTACCCACCGTTAACTGGAACATATTTGACATTTGTAACTGTGATAAAGTGTCTTAATCTAAAGACAGAAATTCTTTAAGGTTTAGTCAACTTTTTCATTTTTATCCTTCCTAGTTTTTTTAGTCTATCAAAATAAAATCATTTTAGTTAACTTTTAGCTAAGCCCTTTTTGCGTTGAAGCCATCCACTGTCTGTCTGGGATTCTGGGAATCTGCACACATCGCTCAACTAATTCAACCAATGACATTGCTTATAATTTGACAACAGGCTAGACATACAGTTTGGGGGAAATATCATGCATTATGAATGTCTGATAGGGCACCAATGCATTTTACTCCCGTCTAGTAAAAAAAAAAGAAAAATCCTACATTTTAAAAAAAACTATTTTTTATTGTCATCATACTATTTCATGTATGTTACTCATTACAAAGCTCATGTACTGATGACATTTCTTTCTAAGTGTGTCACCCAGTGATACATCAGAATAACAAACTATTGATATACAATGATAAATAAAGATAGATAACAACAACAGTTATGGTACAGGTATGTAATCGTAATTTTGGAGTCATAGAAAAATATCTCTGATTCCATCTCATATTCAAGGTCCTGCCTAATATAATTCATGGTTTATAATGATTTTTTCTTCTTTCAGTATTTCCACCTTCCTGTACAGCATCATAAGAGGAATTTAAAAAAAGTAAAGAGATGAAAGAAAAAAAGAAAAAACACCCACACATGCACGAATGCAAAAAAAAAAAAAACAATACAGGAAAATAAATAGATATAAAAAATACAAATACAAAAATAATTTAATAATAAAAGAAAGTACACCCCTGGATGACTGTCAGACCTGATACAAAGAACCACATTCCAAACCTGCATTTTTTCCTAGTTTTTAACTATCAAAGATCTATTTTTAGCCCTCCAGTGTCCCGTCTTCATTATGGAAAATGGTTGTTGCTGAACATTTGTCATCATGGAGTATGTTAATAAAATGAATACAGTTCTGTTAGAAGGAGGGTGGTGCTATGTTCATCACATTTAGGTGTGAGGTGACTAGAAATCATCACTTCACACCACAAATTTATTTTAGTGGACAGCAGATGTGGTTAACCATCCGTGTGGCTCAGGGTGATTAACATCTCGAAACAATTAACACGTGGGGAAGTATACAATGCACACTCATACAAAAATCCCAGAGGAAGTAGAGAGACAACAGTGCATCGAATATATCATGCATATCAAAAATCTCTAAGTATGCATTAAAACGTTAAATAGTTGTGTAGTAGGACACATGAAAAGAAACATTGCAGTATTGTACATAGAAAGTTTTAAAATCACATTTCACTAGAAAATCTCCACTCATTTAAACATACTTCAGCATACATGTTTATTATTGCCTAGACTAGACTAGACTGGACATTTATCAACCAGGAACAAAGCCAAAACCTTATAAATGTAAAGATAGTTTTAAGTTTTTATAACATTGCTGTTGACTTTTCTGTTTGAATGGGAACACTATCAACGGACGTCATCACTCTCTCTGTTTTATTTGTCCTCTCAGGGCCAGTATGTTCAGATGGCCTGTTCCAGGTTGGGTAGTCGGGTGCTGGAGGCTATATGGAACAGTGCGTCAGTCAGTCACAGGCAGAACATCGCACAGGAACTAGGTAATATAAATCATTACATAGATCCTGACTTTAAGGAGTGGCTGGATATATTTCTTTAATATAGATAATTTATGTTTTGATTTCCTTTCTCATTTCCCCTTGCCTTCCAGTGCCAAGTGAAAACCAGCTGAGGTCAGATCAGTTTGCTCGCCATGTATGGGCCAAATTTGCCCTCTCCCACTTCGTCCACAGAAGAGCCCACTGGCAGGAAATACAGACCGGAGAGTCCAAAAAGCGGAAACTCTTTAGTGACATCCTTGAGTAAAAAATGCTTATTTATAAGATGTGTTTTTTTTTCTCTGTAATTGGATAAAAAATAAAGAAGGAAATATTCCTTATTTGTGTGTTACTTTTTAACTCCAAAAGAGCATGGATCCCTATTAGCTCAAGATGGGGGTGACACAGTCAGTGAAGGTATACACACATATCCTTTCTCGCAGTGGACCTCTGCCCACCTGCAACACACCTGCCACTTCTGCTGCAGCTGCTCATTTATCTTATTTCATTTGTTCCATTGTTGCATTTATCAGGACTTTTCCCTTTGTTTTAACTGTGTAACAGATGCAACTGCAAATGTAGAGAAGTATGATACTAATAGGGCAACTACATCCATTTTCATAATTCATTCATTTTATTTTTATGGTTTAAGACAGCCCATAACTATTAGTAAACATCCAAAACTTAGAGTGCTAAATTTATGATGTCATAAGTAAAAAGTCTGGAGCTGCTCCACAGATAATGAAGTGGTTAAGATGTTACAGATCAGAAGAATACTTTGGAAATCTATTCCCAAACACGAGCGTAGGACAGGGATGTGCAAAACACAACTTGCAGAAAAATTCCCGCACACCGTCTAACTTGCAAAATAATGCATCATTACACAAATAGGAAACTTAATAATAAATACAACAAGGCCTCCAAAATGCCACTGGGTACAAATTGCATAAAATAAACATGACAATAATCAAATTAATCTCTCAAGAATGCAAACTTGCAACTAAGTGGGTCCTTACCAGAACATCCTTTTGCTCCCAAAAAGGTAATTGCAGTGAAACAATGCAGGTGTCATTTGTGGATGAACCTAATATAGCATAAAGAAAAAAGTCAACACCAATGATACAGCTCAAGAAAATACAATATACAAATATAAAAGTAAAAGAAATTCATGCAGAAACACTGCATACATATATAAATGGACACTATCAACAGGTCACATTGATAATAAGTGTACATATCCATATGTATCTATGACTATGTGAGGGTGAACCAGGAGCCTAAGGGGTTTATTATAAAGTTTCCTATTTGTATATTGATGCTTTTCTCTCTTTCCATGCAAACATATCCCCACCTGCAAAATTTGGAAATGTATCTTTTTGAGAATGCAATTTAACCACGAGGACTTCAGCATTTATTTGTAAGAGCTTGCCCATTTAATGGAAACGCTTTGGGATATGTTTATGAATGTCATTATCCAGTGCGTTTTTAATGTTTTATTACTCTATCTTTATGTATAATATTGTAGATTATCACATGAATTCATATTTGGTTTTTAGGCCCTCCAACTGCATGTGGGTAATGTGACTGATTGCAAACTCACAGCCACTCTTACCTAAGAGGGCCTCTCTTTGTGAAAAACTATTTGCCTGATGAAGGTTTAGTTATCGAAACATTGCAATAAAATGATTATTTTTGCAAGTTAGACAGTGTGTGAGAGTTCTTCTGTGAAGAGATATTATAGATGACAGTGAGAGCACCCAGTGGAATGCTCTGAGTGTATTGGTACATTTTCTCTTTCGCAACTGAGAGCACTACATTAGAATAAAGCTCATTTGGGTATAAAAAGAAAACAAATATTCTGTGGATCCACAATATCAGGCTCCCATTCATTATCTGTGGAGCAGCTCCAGACTTTATATTTGATGACATCACAAGTTGGAGACTTCTCTGGTTTCTGGCTTTAAGAGAGAGAGGCTCATGTTCACAAGTATTGATTGATCTTTCCTCGGCCATAAAAATAACAAATTTGAATTCTTAATTAAGGTGGAGTTCCCCATAAAGTTTAAATGCACTTAAAAGTAAGATAACTGATTAAAAAAAATGAAGTACGAGTTCACGAAAACACCACTTTGTTACAGTTACAAGAGTAAATGTTTAAATATTCTAAAACATATGAGTCAGATTGTTTATTCTGTTGTGATGTTGTTTCAACGTTTCCGATTTAATTAGAAAAAATGCACCACTTTTAACTGTTTGATGTAGGGAGCTGCATGGCCACTAGGGGCTGCTGGTGTAATGTTCATTCTCTGAGTCTGTGTAGTTTGCCCGCAGATCCAGGTCTTCTAATGAGCAGATCAACAGGAGCTAAGTGTGTGAACATTAAATCACCTACACTAAAAAGACAAAAGGTTTGCTGCTTGTATTGCTGACTAATAATGACAATAACTAAGCTAATGTAGTATGTATGCATACATATGTAGAGGCAGTTTTAGTACATGTCAGTGATTTGGTGGGAAAATGGAAGTCTGAATTAGATCTGAAAGTATGGGACAATCTTTGAAGATTGACTCTGCTGTTCCACTAAACGTCGTGTTTCCTCCACGGAAACACAAACAAATTCAGGCTGTTAGGAACCGTTCTGTGCCTCAGCAGCGAGCTTCTTTTGTTGCAGGCCTGTGGGAGACACATAAGCTTAGTCACAAAGGAGAACATTGATTTTAAATTGATTCAAAGAAAGAAGGCCTTTATCTTGGCAGATGCCTTTCAGTAAAGACGATGATGGACACGGCCGTGGAGCCACGCTGCAGGACAGCACGTGTTATCAGTGTGGGTACAAGCACAAAGGCCACCATCCCCCTAGGTAATAAATACGCTGTCAACTCATTCACAGTTTGATTTGAACCACACAGACAGCATGCAGTGTTCCATACTCAACATACTGTACTGACTCCCTGTATATCAGCTGTAGAACACCCTATAGAAATCCCCCTGTGTCCAATTCTTTTAACCAATTTTAACAAATAATGACACTGATTCATGTTCAGTCCAAAGATCTAAATGAAAATAGTCAGGACCAATGTGTGAGGCAGAAAAAAAGAAACCACTCTACATTACAGTTCAGTTCAACACAGTGCTCTTGTAATAAATACCACCTTTTTAAAACTCTTGACACTGTATTGATTCAGCTGAGAGCTGCTGAGTCAACTGTATGGTAATTTGGAGGCTCCAGGTTGTGTTGGGTTGCTCTTTTGTCGTGTATTTTATTGAAGGACGTTTCTGATATTTCTGCGCTTCCACATTTGTGAATTAAGAGGAAAAAATATAAGAAGCATCTCTCAGCACAGTGCAGTATAATACACTGCCACCAAAGAACAGTTTCAAAAAAGAATGCCCTAAACACCTGACGAGAAAGTCTGACGAATGTATAGAGGGATTTATTTACTCAAATCAGGCAGGGCTGCTCATAAAGGGGGAACAAGGGGGAGCACTCCCAATATAAGCAATAATAACCAAAATTTGTTTTGAACCAAAATGTTTGTTGCTTATTAAAACAACAAAAATAAACACTGTACAATATTTATTGTTGCTTTAGTAAAATGTGGCCTGTTTCATAATGAAAACCACCTCCTCTAAAGATGGTTTGACTATTTTTCTTCTTCTTCTTCTTCTTTTTTGCGTATCAAATCAAATCAAATCAACTTTATTGATCCTTTCCAGGAGCAATGACACAATAGCCACAACAACATGTAACCAAAAAGACAACACAATACTTGTTCAATGCACCACAGAAAAAAATCACTCAGAAAATACTAAAATACCAGGCATGGTAGTTAAAAGTAATTGATGATCAAATATCTTAAAGCCACAGACATACCAGGTGATAAATAAATAAATAACTAAATTACAGTACATTACAGTGCATTAAAAAGTCTGATGGCAGCTGGAATGAAGGACCTCCTGTAGCGCTCGGTCCTGCACCTCGGCGCCATCAGCCTGTGGGAGAAGGTGCTCCGATTAATAACCCCCAGGGCATGAAGGGGGTGTGAGGGGTTGGAGATGATCGCTCTCAATTTTTTGAGAGAGCGTTTCTCTCCAACCCGCTGCACTGTATCCAGCTCAGCTCCAGTAATGGAGCTGGCTTTCCTGATCTTTTTGTCCAGTTTATTTTTGTCTGACATACGGGCACCTTCTCCCCAGCACGCCACAGCGAAAAAGCAAGCGCTGGCCATCACTGTATGGTAGACGGTGCACAACAGGGGTCGGCAGATGTTAAACGATCTAAGCCTTCTCAGAAAGTTAAGTCGCCTCTGACCCCTCTTGTGCACCACCTCCATGTGACCACTCCAGTCCAGTCTGTCATCCACCAGTACTCCCAAATACTTGTGGTTGGGGTCCCTCTCCGCCACAGTGCCCTGGAAGATAATCGGCGCTGGTGGGGCCCTTCTTCTCCTGAAGTCCACCACGACCTCCTTGGTTTTGGAGGCGTTGAGCAGGAGATGGTTGTGGTTGCTCCAGGCCACAAAGTCCTCGATGGTATGTAACTGTTGCAAATAAACACAGTGCCTAGCTGGCCACATTGCGTAAGTTTACTGATCTCAACAATTAGCTACTGTTAATGTTTCCTTACTATGTTGGGACCTGCACATAAATCAGGATGCCAGAAAACAAAGGAAAATGATATGAGGGAGTTGGAAAGGGCTTAAAACCCTAAATTATAATGTGATGACTAACCTATTTCAGTCAACTCAGAAAGTTACTCCCAGCCAGTGTGAAGAGGCGAACGATAGCCAAGAGGCTAATGTTACAGCTAACATTACTAGCCAAGAGGTAGCTAAGAAGAAAAAGAGGATATCCCCAAGGGAAAATTCAATTTTTTTCCACTCTGTTGTTATATACACACAGGCCCGAAATACACACATGTACAAGCAAGACCTATACATGCATTAAATGGAGAGATGTAAAGGTGGGGGGGCTGCCCATAGACGGGTACGTCAAGCAGTTGCGGATTCGGTTCCTTACCATTTCTGTAGGAGCATTGAAGTATGAGATAGTTTTGTTTTTTATAGTGAGGCTCTGAGATATGCTAACACCTCACTACAATTAAGCTGAATGAAAGTTGCTTTGCAGTGATCAAAGCAAGTAACCATGAATATACCTTTGAAAACTCAACATCAAAGTGTCTGTCCTGAAACACTGTCCTGGTTATTATGGGGGTCTCTGGTCTCCACAGGATGAATCTTAATGTTTTTGGACTTTTCCTCTTGCAGAATACAACGCCAAAGTGTCAACTATGCGAAAAAACTTAACTTAAAAAAGGATTCAAGATAAGGATTCTTTGATG